TGTATACACACCACATGACTGATGTATATGCAGACATCACAGAGCCAGATATCCCGAGGTTTCTGCAAGTGAATCTGAGCCTGACACAAAAGCGCCAAACGTGGAAGCTCGGACTGACCGAAGCGACAGTAGACGGAACCCTCCTACTCCCAACTTCCTAGCTGAAACTTGAGGAGTTTAGGGTTCAGGACTTTCACGACACCCCGCAGTACAACTCGATACCTTCTTTTCTAGCAAACGATTCGACATTCTTGTGTTCAGCGTGGCGAATTCCCAGACTGGGAATATAATCGGGAAATTCGAGCTGAAGGATTTTTAATTTTGAAAGAGTGTAGGTAGAAAGTTTAGGGTTTGCGGTTCGGGTGTGTGGATTTCGGGTGAATGCTGACAGGTGACCCGTGTTTGGCACCGAAGGGTTTACTGTTATCAGTGCGCTAGCGTAATTTCACGATGCTGGCCTAAACCCTAAACCCTAAACCGTGAAGCATCACTAATCAGCCCCGAAGCGAGAAGACTGGGAACCCTTAGGCGCCTGACGAGTGTTACCAGACTCATTGCGGTACCCACATGGGAGTTTCCGAAAATTCGGGGTACCTTATTTTGGGATCCTTACAATAAGGACCCTACGGTACTATATTAGGGTCCCCTATTTTGGTAAACTCCCACATGCACAAGTCTTCGATACTCGAATCAATCAGCAAAGACACCCTCAGAGACAGTGTTCGAGAATGCATCTAGGATGCGCCTGTGCCGTTTGCAAAACCTGAAGAGACCGATCAAACTAAAATCGAAGCCATGCAGGAAGGACATAGACTGATAAAGACAACACAACCACCCAAACCGGCCACCCCACCCCCCTAAACCCTAAACCCTTACCCCGCCCCTTCACCACCTGCTTCTGCTGCATGTGCACCGAGGCTTTGGTACTGCCTGAGCTTGGGACCGGCGCTGAGAAAGCCGTGGGATGAGCAACAGCGGCAAGAGGATGATGCTGGTTTGGGGTTTAGGGGTTTAGGGGTTTAGGGGTTTAGGGTTTAGGGGTTTAGGGTTTAGGGTTTGACGATCATGACGATGATGGTCATGGTAATGCTGACGACGATGATCGTGCTGATGAAAAACATGACGATGACCATGATGATGAAAGCTGTCATGATGACAAGCATGGAGCTGTTCATGATGCCGACCATGACGATCAAGATAATGATGATGGTCGCGACAAAGTGATGGTGTGCAGTGCCGATATAGATGCCGATGATGACCTCGACAGTTATAACGATGCTGTTTGATGGCAGCAACGACGTAAAAGATGTCGATGGAGCGGCATGGCCCACGTTACTGACGATGGGGATGTGAACGATTCTGATGACTCAAATCATTCTCGAGAAACAGCCGAAGAACACTGAAGCGATGACTAGCAAGGGTGAAGATGGCAACACTGATGATGATGGTGATGATGGTGAGGACGACGACGATGCTGACGAAAGCGAAGACACGGCTGATGAGTCTGATGCAAAACGTGTCTCAGTTCGTGTCGCCAGCTTCTCTGGGAGGACCCTCAGGACTCCGAAAGTAAGAGAATAATTAAGATAAAGTTGTGGCAAGTGTAAGTGCATGTGCATCTACACATGGGGTTTCGTGACAAACCTGCTTCCTAAGCCCCCCGTTTTCCCAGCACCACGATGAGACAGAAGTCCGGAACCCAAAAGGATCCCACGGCTTGAAAGCCCGCCCCTGGACCTCCGATGCATGGAGGCCTGTACTACCAACTCTTCACGCATCTTTCGGTTCATGTGCATGTGCTGACAGATTCGGTGCCGAGGTTCTAAACACCCTGAACCACAAACCCGAAACCTGAAACCCTAAACCCCTAAGCCCTAAACCTGAACAAAAACAGGGTGGTTGTCAAAATTGTGGTCCCTGAATGGGTACCCTATATAGTAGGTGCCGTACTATAATATGGACCCAAAAAGGGACCATAATGACAACCACCCACCTGGAGACAACCAAGCAGCTGGGTGAGTTGAGCAGGAGGCGTGGAAGCTACCATCTCGGACACTTCCTGAGGGGTGCAGGACTGAGGCACGTCTGAGGCATTTCTTCTAACATCAGAAGCGTCTAGGGTTTGGGTTGAGGATGGGGGGATTTCTTTCAACTATAACTTAGGGTTTAAGGTTTAGGATTTAGGGCTTTCTTACAGTTGTACCATATGTTTCGTGCTCAGGCTTTGGGGACTTCCTCTTGAATTTGTAGGGTTTAGGGCTTGGGAATTGGGACTTCCTTATCAAATGTTCAAGGTTTGAGGTCGAGGGATGTCTTGCGATTAAGGAGTCCTTTAGCGGATTCTTTCAACTCGTCTAGAATAAGGATTCCTTTTAAGGCATCCTTCACAGGTTCCTTTTAGAAACGCATCATTATGTGCTTGGGGGTGCTTGGTTTGATTCTTGGTTTAGGGTCGTAGAGCACAACTACAGGCTGGAGGCGGATCCAGCTAGAAGGTTTTAGGGTCTGGGTCTCAGTCCATGTACTACCCGAGCTTCATAGTGCTTCAGGGAGTATACAATTGAAAAGGAATCGGATTTAATCCCTCAGATCCTTAAGTCCATGGCTTGATCTGCGGTTTTGATTCCATTCTTCAGAGAAGGTACGCTTCGGGATGCAACCGAAAGGACCGGCATGAAATGAAGCAAAACTGCATTGAAACTACTACTACTACTACTACTACTACTACTACTACTACTCCTACTACTACTCCTACTACTACTGCTGATACTACTACTACTACTGCTGCTGCGGTGCTTCCTGAGCCCCAAACCTTCTCCACAACATCAGTTCTGCTCCAACAAAAAACGAAAATGGTTTTCAGATTCATCCTAGGGGCCCATTTTAGCCTTAGAGAACATGGTGCGAAGCCAACATCAGAAACCCAAAGTGTGCCTGGCATCACCGTAAGGAAAAAACACTCGTCTAGACGAGAAGAATCTAAGAAGAGCAAACAGAACGACGACTGCAACAATACAATCTCAGTGTCCCTGCAACTGTTGTAGTATACTCATCAGATACTGACAGTTCTAGGTACTACCGACAAAAAGACTGGCAAGGGTCGTACGGCTAGACTAACACAGGCATGTGGGACTTTGCCCAGCTGATGCCACGAATCTTTATTGAGGTGCTTAGCAAGCGAAAGCCTTGCACACAGCTCAATGTGTTTAAAATTTGACCCCAAACATTAAGTCGACATGCCATCTCGAGTTCATACAAAGTCGCAAGTCGCCAGGCTCGCCATCACCTAGAGAAAGTAGTGACAATGGTACGACCCCCAAAAAGCAGGTGCACGTGATTGTAATCTACACTGGCTACTCTAGGCAAGAGCGAGATCGAACCGAAGCCTCAATAAAAGTGGGCTGAATCTGTGGAGGAGCGGTGACCATGCAATTGAAAATCTCCAGCAAGGGCAGTTCTGACGTATCGCCGTCGCTGTGGCGACCTCGTCCCAAAGGGAATGGGCTTGAACCGCTTATGTTGCCAAACACCCGAAACCTGACGCCCAGAAGAAGAAAGCTTCAGCCGTGTATCATCGGGGCCTCAATGAATCGAATAATTAGGGTTTCGGGGTATTTTTGCTATACGTTGCATTGAATATCTCATAAACAGGAACCCCAAGGAAGAATCTTACAAATTGTTCGGACCCCTATAATGAAGAACTCGTGGATGCTGAAGATTGGGCCGTCAGCCGATGAAGATGCCAGCCACTTCCCTGTAAATTCAGAGTTTCGGACATAGATGTATACTCACAACCTATTCCAACGATTACTTGGAGGTTCATGGGACTTAGTAACTACAGTTATAAGTACCTTAACTGGGGTTATAACTAGTTTTCAGTATAGTTACCTGAGTTATGTGGTTACTAAGTTCCATGAACCTCTAAGTAAGGCACCGATATCAGTGCGTAGGCTTCTCAACGCCTCCCCTCCAGGGGTTTAGGATTTAGGGTCTCGGGTTAGGAGGTGGGTCATGTACGGACCGGAAATTTGTTCGGTACTGTTGCTCGGAAGGGCTGCCTATGAAAACTACAGTATGCTCGCAACACCATACAACCCTAAACTAGGGGAATTATGGGGTATTCCTTTTCATGGGTAATGCAGGGTTTATCTCATCAACCGTATAACCCTAAATTCGAGCCAAAGGCTGGCAAAGACCGGAAACAGAATCGGCTTTTGATTCCACTCAACCAGCCTATAGAGCTCCGGAGTGTCGCGAGGGTTTAGGGGTTTAGGGCCTAGGAGTTTAGGATTTGGGGTCGAGGGTCTCCATCGTTCAGGGCTTACTTGGAGGATCATGGGACTTAGTAAGTAAGGTTATAAGTACCTTAATTGGGGTTATAAGTAACTATAAGTATGGTTACCTTATTTATAACCCTAGTTACTAAGTCCCACGATCCTTCAAGTAATGCCTAATATAGAAGCCAAAATCATTGCCAATATTATTTCGTCGGGATTTATTGCATATAATTACACCGAAAAGGAGCCCAAAACCCTTTTCGAATTATTGAGGCCCTTACACTATAGCAAGGGTTGTGGGTTTTTTGAGAGAGGCTCTGAAGCATCTGCAAAAGATTCAAGCCATGTGAGCTCTCAGCGGAGAGGTTGCCCCTGATTGGTGGCTACTAATATAGAGGCCTGAATGAATTCCAACACGGTCTTTGGGATGTTTTGGGGTATTTTGGACTATAACTGATAACTATACTAAGGAACTCTAAAACCATAATTTTTGGTAGTTTATCTAGGCCCAATAACCGAACTCCAGAGGTTGAAATCTGCACACCTAGGGGTTGCCATCCAGGGTTTAAGGTTTAGGGTTTAAGGTTTACCTGTATCCCCAAACCCTACAGAATAGTAGGTTATGACCCCTTAATGAGAGGGTCTAACCCCCAAAACAGTAGGTTGTTGGATCCCCATGTAGGGTTTAGGCTTTGAAAACACAAATATGTGCATCGTAGATGCGCTGCGTGTGGATGTTGTTGGACACCAGCTGCTGGTAGTAGCTCGTGTGATCGCCTCCGCGCACAGATGAGTGGTTGTCAAAATTATGGTCCCCTTTTGGGTCCTTATTATAATACGGCACCTAATATTTTGGGTACCCAAAAAGGGTCCATAAATTTGACAACCACCCAGATCGGATTACGACTGGAATCGACATTCAAAGAATTGGATTTACGATGAAGGTTTCAAGGATCCAGGCTTTGAAGGCAGATAGGTGGGGTTCCAAATGGGAGTTTCCGAAAATAGGGGGCCGTAAGATAGAACCCTAAATAGTAGGATCCTTATTGTTATAGGGACCCTAAAAGACGGTACCCCTAATTTTCGGAAACCCTAAACCCTTATTAGATCCCTTTAAAGGAAGCCCTTAGAGTACCCTCATAGTATCCCTTTACAGGAGCCCTAAGGTACCCCCTAATGTTCGGAAACTCCCAAATTGCCCAGGGAGCTTTAGGTGCCAAAACGGCCTTCAAATCCCAGCTTCGGGCTTCCTTTTTGGCGGCCTGCCCGCCCGAAACAGAAGCCTACGAATCCTGATGGCTAAGCCTAAACAGAATGACTCCTTACTGTAATTATAACAATTATAGTAGTTATAGTAATTATAGTAATTCTAACAATTAATATAGTATTATACCAAAGCAAGCACCAGCAAGAACACCACTAACAATGGAAGCAAGCAAGCATTCAAACGAAACAGCCGAAAACACCAGCCATTTCAGCAAGACGTGGGAGTGCTGGCTAGCACTCGTAGTAATAACGCCGATAGCCAAGCATCGTGACAAAACGATAGAGTCTCGCAAAGGCCAAATAACATGGACAACCATACCAGTAGCTCTCCACAGCTAAGGATCGCAAAGCCAAAGGCACAGGCTCGCAGACTTGAAAGCTGTCGTCTTTGGAGTTCATACAGGGTTAAGGGATTCAGGTTAAGAGTTATAACATAACATACTATGCTGAAAGTATACCATACTAAAATCTAATTTGACCATACTATACTATACTAAAATTTAAAAACTGCGGGTTTAGGATTAGGATCCAAAACACGCGGCCTGTAAGCTTTCTAGCACGGGCCAGTGCTGCATGCAAAGTCTTGTCGGCCCGCGAAGTATCGCCCAAAGCCTCGCAAGAATCACGTCTGCATGGCACCTCAATGTACCACGAAATTTATGAACATATGCCAAGCTGCGGGCTACAGGTAAACAGTTCATGGGATTCGGGCCTTTGAAGGGTTTAATGAGTTAATTAATTAGGATTCCAAATCAAGCCAAAAGCTTCTAGATTCCGGATCTTGCCCCTTTCTGTTGCAACAACAATGTAGCAGGGTCCATCGAATTTGCTTTGCAATTTTCTCTCTGCGTGTGTTGTTCCCGGTGGTCCGGTGCCACAAAGATATCGATCAAAATCGTAAGCTCCGTGTGTGAGGCTCGGGATATGACATGACTAGGAGTCAGCGGCTGTCCAAGAACCAAAGTATGAAACCCTAAACCCTAAACCCCTCAACCCTAAACCCCACAACCCTAAACTCCTAGAACCCTAACGCCCTAAACCTCCAGACCTATCTCAAAAAGACAGAACCCAAAACCCCAGGCTTGCAAATCAACAAGCTGTACTTCGCACCAGGTCAACATAAACCCTGAGTTGAGGGTTTGAGGCACAGGGGTTGGGGTTCAGGGTTTAGGTTGAGGGTTTGATGTACAGGGTTTGTTTTTTATAGTTGAAGGTACAGGGTTTAGGTTTTAAAGCTATTGCTAGCTGGACAGCCGAATATAGGCACATTTTCTTGGTGATTCTTGTAGAAAGGCAGGAAGCAAGGTGCACCGCGCCGAGGTTGTTCCAAACCAGTGGATTTTCTGGATACCTGCATGTGGTGAAGGCTCATATGAACCAGGACCAACTATATACGGTTGGACCGAAGCCAATGGCTTTCTGCCAGAATCCGGGCTATCGCAACAGGGCCTGCACAAATTGGGCCGTGCGAAAACAGGCGATCAGGTGGGCAACTCGGTACTGGTAATGCTGCTGATTTTAGTCCTTGTCGTGGTAGGTAGCTGCTGATGCTGTCTTCGTGCCAATAGGAACTAGCAACAGCAGCAGGAAGTGGACAAGAAGTAAAGTTACGACTGCCAATCGCAGTGGCAGCAGCAGCAATGCTGACAACTGCAGAATATGGAGCAGGGTATCCTAGTTACATCACAATCGTCTTACCATTGCCGCAACTATGTCTGAAGCCAAGGCATTGATGGCAGTACCACGCTCCCTCAAGGACAGCCGCTCAGCTTTACCGCAAGGCTTTTGGTTTAGAGTTTCGGCTACTGATGCGTTACGATGCACTATGCTGAGTTCGCTGCCTAAACCCTAAAAAACCTCCACCCTAAACCGTGACCGTAAACCCTAAACCCTAAACCAACCAACCTAACCCCGAAACCCGAAACTTCACAACATGTTCCAAGCCCCGTGCCAGAAGACCAAGTAGCCAAAGTTGAATCAATGTCAAAACCTGTACTACAAGAGCCTTGATAACTTTAACAGGATTTGGAGTAATCTCCTGAAAGTATAGTTATGACGAGAATAAGGAAGAACGCTGTTAATTCTACAGCTCCCTGTAGTAGCATCCAAAGTGCAGTGTGACTGCCCTCTCCAGCACGCCCTTCGCACGAGAGAACTCTCCCAAATAGAAGTAAGCAAAGCCTCGCTGGTTGTCGTTGGGGTTAAGAATATGGTTTTGGGTTACATTAAGGTTTTTGTATTGGTAATTACTCAGGCTTCTACGTTGTTGCGTTCAGGTGGTTTTGGCCGTTGGTGCTGTTCTTGCCGCTGTTGTTCCTAATGTTTCTTTTGATTTGTCGTTGCTGAATGTGCAGCAGTGCAGTCAGTCGCACTGCAACTGAAACTTAGTTCCAGCCGCAGACCTCGAAAAGCCTGTAGAAAGGACGAAAAAAGCCCAAGGTTCATCTCCTGGCTTCTTCTCGGCATCCGTCCTGAAAAGCTATACAGTCCATCGTCCCACTGCTTTATGTGTATTTTGAGGTATCCTCCGCTGACCCTCGCCTACCGTTCGCCGTTAGCACGCAGTTACTTTGAAAATGATTGCCCTACACCCTGAACCATTATGAAGCCTAAGTCTACCGTTCTAGTTAAAAGTATAGTTACCTTAATTATAACCGTAATTATTAAGTCCCATGAACCTCTAAGTAAGTCAGGCCCAGGGAACTTAGCGCATTCATCAAGTGGACAGGGCCATCCACCGGCTCATCGAGCTGGTCTTCCTCGCATTTAGCGGAGCATGCGGGGGGCCATAAGCCTTAGACTGAATAGAGCTCCTTTGAAGGGCTTCTTTATAGGGCTCTGTGCCTCTATAAGGGATGAAAGGGGGTTTAGTAAAGTATAGGGGGCATGATAATCTGTTAGGAGAGGGTTTCGTAGTACAACTATGTAGGGGCTGCAAACGGATATTAGCAAGCACTTCTGAACCCCCAACTCTAAGGACGCCTCTCCGCCAGACTTGACGCGTATCTTGTGGGGACCGCTCAATGTACCCCTCGTAGTATCCCCGTCAAAACAGTAAAAACCCTAAGCCTTAAACGCCCTACAACCAGAAACCCTCAAAACCCTAAACCCCAAAAGCCGCAAGCGCTAAACCCCTAAGAGTCAAACTTGGAGCCAGCCCTAAACCCTAAACCCTAAAACCTGAACCCTAAATCCTAAACCCCTGAACCCATACACCCTAAACCCTGAACCCTTAAACCCATAAACCCATAAACCCTAAACCCCTAAACCTGCAGTTCGGAGCAATCTCTGCAGGTCGGGGACTGGACTTCAGCTTCTGAGTTCTCAGGATCGTTTCCGGGCTCCAGGATGCTTACCTAACCAGTGGTTTTGGGGTTCCCTGGGCTCTTTAGCTCCTTATTCAATAGGGATTATCATCATCCCTGGCTCCTTAGCTCCTCCAATATCAAAGGTTAGTTACGCTATAAAGTAAAGGCCAGAAAGTTGGAATATGATTATCCTAAAGCCTTTATGGTAAGTTATAGGGTATCCTACCCTGAAACCATATTCCAACTTTCTGGAGTCCCCTTTACCCCCCTTAGAACCATAATAAAAAATACGTTTTATATATTCTTTGGCTTTATATGAACAAAAAACAAAACATGATTCCTATGGAGACTGTAGTCAGGTTTAGGGCTTAGGGATTTTTAGGGTTTGGGGTTTTGAAGCTTTAGGGCTTTAGGGTTTAGGATTTCGGAAAACTTGGGGGTTGTAGTGCTTAGGGTTTAGGGTGCTTCACACTTCACACAACCGTTGAAGTAGCAAATGCAGTCTGACAGTGCAATAGCGCTCGGAGCACATAGGCTCTTGCAAGACTTAGTTTCCTGCCCATTCCGAAGAAACAGCACTGCTCGAGGTGATGCAGACCTACAGGCTTTTCTTGGCAGCACGGGAAAGCACGCGACAAGCGTTTGCGAATAAGGAAGGATTGCAGATACTGTGAAGTAGGGTCCTTATCATAAGGATCCTGATGAGTCCTGGGTTTTAGGGTTTAGGGTTCAGGTAGTAGCTCGAATGAAGCCTGCCCTAGCAACTGCTGCAGGGTGTCCAGAATGGCAGAATTTGGCCTTCAAAAACAGAACTTTCGGTTGCGACTAGGGCCGTTTTTCTGGTACTCCTTTGGGGGCATAATTTAGATTCTTAGATAAGTACAGTACCCATAACATACCTGCAGCCCCGGACCATGCACTCTTAAACCTTAAACAAGAACCCGACTACGATAACCTCCAAAATTCCGTAAACCCCAAACCCTATAAAACCCCGAAATCTTAATCCCCTAACTGCGGTCCCAGAAGCCGCAAGCATCGGGAGGTGGATCGGCGAAGAGGTCTGCATCGACTCCAACAGAGCCTGCGGGAAAGCCCCTGATCCTACAAAACCAGAGGAGACACCCGCCGTTCAGAGTTTTGGGTTTACAGTTTAGGGGTTTAGGGGTTTAGGATGTAAAGTAGGGTTTAAAGAGGTTCGAACCCGCAGAACCAGAAATCCTATTGCTCTGTGCTCTCGGCAGGCTTTCGGTGGAGGACAAGTTTTGAGGTTCAGGACCCAGTGCATCTTATAGTTATTATAGAACACTATTATGAGTAGTACTAGTTAGTAGTACGAGTAGCAGCAGTAGTAGCAGCAGTAGTAGCAACAGTACTGTAGTAGTAGCAGTAGTAGTAGTAGTAGTAGTAGTAGTAGTAGCAGGAGTAGTAGTAGTAGTAGTAGTAGTAGTAGTAGTAGTAGTAGTAGTAGTAGTAGTAGTAGTAGTAGTAGTAGTAGTAGTAGTAGTAGTAGTAGTAGTAGTAGTAGTAGTAGTAGTAGTAGTAGTAGTAGTACTAGTAGTAGTAGTAGTACTAGTAGTAGTACTAGTACTAGTACTAGTAGTAGTAGTAGTAGTAGTAGTAGTAGTAGTAGTAGTAGTAGTAGTAGTAGTAGTAGTAGTAGTAGTAGTAGTAGTAGTAGTAGTAGTAGTAGTAGTAGTAGTAGTAGTAGTAGTAGTAGTAGTAGTAGTAGTAGTAGTAGTAGTAGTAGTAGTAGTAGTAGTAGTAGTAGTAGTAGTAGTAGTAGTAGTAGTAGTAGTAGTAGTAGTAGTAGTAGTAGTAGTAGTAGTAGTAGTAGTAGTAGTAGTAGTAGTAGTAGTAGTAGTAGTAGTAGTAGTAGTAGTAGTCGTAATATCTTTATTACTACAAATACTATTATTACAACTATTGTTCCTATCATTATGATGTTTATTGTGTTACTAGTATTATTAGTAATCATTATTGTTACTAATATTATTACTATTGTTATTGTTCCTATTACCACTACCACTACTGCTAACAATTCCACGACCTTTGACTATAACTACTGCACCGGTCCAGAACTTTGTCGCATTCAATGTTTTCACTTACAACGAGCCTGTCCAAGCTCCTCCACAAGTCCTCCGCCTGGAACAACTGTAACACCATAATTTCCTTCCCGGATGGTAATTCCTCCGCCCGCCGGGCTAGGTTTTTCCTCACTTCCTGTACTCCGCGCACTCCGTTTAGTGTCTTTAGCGGATGCGACGAGACTTTATGACCGGGCATGTATTGCTGCTGCTGCTGCTACTACTACTACTACTACTACTACTACTACTACTACTACTACTAATTACTGCTACTACTACTAATTACTGCTACTACTACTACTACTACTACTACCACTACCACCACCACTACCACTACCACTACCACTAGTACTACTACTACTACTACTACTACTACTACTACTACTACTACTACTACTACTACTACTACTACTACTACTACTACTAGTACTGCTACTACTACTAGCTGCTACTATTGACAATGTTATTACTATTCTTTTTACTGCTTGCACGAGAACAGTTATTTTTGTTTATAGTAATTACTGTTGTTAGTTCTATATATCATCATTGCCCTAAGAAGCAGCGAAGCCCTGGATGCTATTCAGGTTCGGCTCCTGTAGAGTTTAGGGTTTCGAGTATATACTGCTCTGCTCCGACGCCGACACCTAATCCAACTCCCACGTCTACATACCCCTGCTCCTACTCCTCCTCCGACGACGACTACATCGTTCCTGGCCTGGCAATACCAGCATGAGTTCCAACCATTGGAAAGACACTTTCGCATGTTGTCTGTGAACAAGGCACCAGCTCTCCTCAGAAAGACGGATAACTACGCATCCTAATTAATCCTGATCCATGTAACCAAGACGACAACTGACATTTAACGCAGCAGCAGCAGCAGCAGCAGCAGCAGCACAGTCCTGAATCCTCGTAATCACCACCATCACCATCACAATCACGCACCAGCAGAATTATCAAAAGTCTGAAGAACGACCCGGAAAGTCTTGCCTCACGCAGCAGTGCAGCACCCTCGCTGAAGTGCTGTGCGCAAACCAAGGCGAATCCTGGCTGCAGGAATATGGGAGTTTCCGAAAATGGGGGACCCTAATATGGTACCCTAAGTATTAGGATCCCTTTTGTAGTACCCCAAAATAAGGCGCCCCTAATTTTCGGAAACGCCCATGCGTGCTTTGAGCTTAGGGTTTAGGCTATACCTGGGCCCCATAAACAAAGCCTGCCTTTCGACGGTTCCCTTTAATGACTTGCCTTTATAAGCCCTTGAACTACACCCCCTTAGAACCATAACAAAAACATTATCTTTAATATTCTCTTAGGTTCTATATGAACAAAAACAAAAAAAAGAATTCCTAAGGAGACTGTAGTAAAATGGTACCATCTTCGCGGTTAAGGTAGGGTTGAGGGCTCAGAGGCTGGGGAATCTCAACCCATTTGGGATTCATGGCTTCGAGCTTCGAAGGAGGACTCTGCCTGAAAGCATACGGGTCATGCACATGTCATACGACTGAGGTATCCAGAAATCCATCGGGCTAAAGCGTCAGTAAGATGTTGATACACCCAGCTGCAACTTAGACCTAACTCTAGGACTCTAGGGGTTTAGGGCTTAGGGTTTACCCTAAACCCTAAACCCCTAAACCCAAATCCCTAAACCCCTAGGGTTTAGGGTTTAGAGATCTTCACAAACCGGTGGATCCCCAAGGATCTCAAGCTTGTGTAAGGCATAATGCAATCTTGCTGGGACATTCTGTTCCGCCCGTGGTCTTTCCCAAGGCCCTAAACCCTCCGCCGTTAAAGCCGTAAGCTCTAAACACACAACCCTAGCCTGAAACCCCAAACCCGAAAACCATAAACCGTTGAACCCCTAACCCCTAACCCATAAACCCCTCACCCCTAAACCCCTAACCCCCTAACCCCCAACCCCTCAACCCTGAAACCCTAAAGCCCCGAACCCCTAAACCCCTCACCCTAATCCCCTAAACCCTGAAACCCGAAAGCCTCGAACCCCTAAACCCTCGACCGCCTCTCTCGCGGCGCAGCTCCACAAGCTGAGCAGCCGGCGCGGAGTCTGGGAGGTGGATTGCTGGGGACAAGGGCCCTTTGAGGGTACGACAACTACCCTAGGGTGGGCTAGGGTCCTATAAGCGTACTACTAGACCCTGGAAGTTTGGTTTTGTTTAGGGTTAGTTAAGGGATTAGATGATTAGAGGCTTAGGCTTTTGTTGTAGGTTTAGGGTCTTGGGGTTTAGGTTTTTAGGATTCGGGGTTTGGAGATTTGAAGTTGGGAGTTGGATCCGGGTTGGGGTTTTGGCAGGAACGGCTACCTGGGTTTCTGTGGGTTTAGGTTTAAAGTTTTGCCTGATGGTTTAAAGGTGAAGATTTTCAGCAAAACACAGACCGCGTTTGGCTGTTCAAGCACTTTCACTCAAACTTAGAACTGAGGAAAAAGCAATATTACTAGTACAAAGTCTCATTATCAGTAGCAGAGTCATACATAATAGTAGCAACATAATATGAAATGAGCCCATCCTGTGGATAATTTAGATCCGCCCAGGAAGATCCCTAAACCCTAAACCCTAAACCCTTAAACCCCCTAAACCCTAAACCCCTAAACCACTAAAGCCTAAACCTCTAAACCCCTAAACCCTAAACTCCCAAACCCTAAACCCCTAAACCCTAAACCCTCTTGTCTTCCGAACAAACAGAGATTAAATCAGGGTTTGAGGAAAGCTCTATATAAGAGTTTCCGAAAATAGGGGACCCTAGTATAGTACCCTAAATAGTAGGATCCTTATTATAGGGACCCCAAAATAAGGTACCCCCTATTTTCGGAAACCCTAAACCCTTATTAGATCCCTTTAAAGGAAGCCCTTAGAGTACCCTTATAGTATCCCTTTAAAGGAGCCCTAAGGTACCCCAAAAATAAGGTACCCCCTATTTTCGGAAACTCCTATATAGGAGGAGGAGCTGCAACTCCGCAAAACCATCCAGTGCCAGTTGTGATTAATATGGGGGCCTTAATAATTAGCATAGGGTTCTTTTTAAGGGGTTCCTTTTTCAGGGTTCTATGAGGGTTACTATGAGGGGTAGTATGAGGGTTTAGTGTAGGGGCCTTAACAATTTTAATAGGGTGTTGGGGCCCATTATACTATAATCATAGTGAGGATCCCCCAGAATAATATTGGTAATAATTTTGGCCCCTATATTAGGCTTGGATTGGAGATCCGTGGCATTGCATGGCTAAGCGTTCAATCTCTCGGGCACCCGAAATAAAACTCTTCTCAGACCGGAGAAGGAAGCTCAGGCACAGACTGTTTCCCAAGAGCACCTGGTAGGGTTTAGGGGGTTTAGGGTTTAGGGTTTAGGGCCAGATTGAATGTGTTAGTCAGTGAAAGGGCTGCATCTACTCCGGATTGAGACGCTCAGGTGGAGATGTGTCGGGGTTTGGAGTTTCGTCAATGCTACATCTTCCGTCTGTCAGCCTTAGTAGTAGTGTAGTGTTGTCACCTGTTGACACAGCTGTTCCCGATCCACTTGAGTAGTAATAATAATACTACTAATAATAATAGTAGGCATAGATCTAGGTCTAGGTCTGGGTCTGGGTCTGGGTCTAGGTCTCGGTCTAGGTAGCGGTAGCGGTGGTGGTAGTAGTGGTAGTAGTAGAAGTAGTAGTAGTAGTAGTAGTAGTAGTAGTAGTAGTAGTAGTAGTAGTAGTAGTAGTAGCAGCAACAGCAGCAGTAGTAGTGGTATTGGTATTGGTAGTAATAGGCTTTTCAGGGTTTCGGGTTTGAGATAGCAAAGCGTCTGTCCGTGAGACTGCTGGCCTCAGCGCGCGCAAAGAGTTTCGCAGCGCCGTGGCAGTCCTGAATGGGGTTTACGGTTTAGGGGTTTAGGAGCTTTGGCTCCAAATTCTACACTTTAGTGAATGTAGGGGCCTGAATAATTAGAATAAGGTTTACGGGCCGATTATACTATAGTTATAATAAGGAACCCCCAAAATAGTGTAGGTAATCGGTAATTATTTGGGCCCCTATATTCTGAGCCCCTCAACACTTAGCCTGTAACAGTGACTTAACACGGGGGCTCTTTAAGACTGCTTAGGTTGGAGGTTCATCTCAGTAGGACCAATAATGCTGCTATCAATGCCAGCGGTGATGGAATTCTGTGTATGAACTCAAAAGTACATACATACATACATATACACAAACTACAAATAAACAAACAAGGAAACAAAGACACACAGGAAGACTGAAACAAAAGCCCCCATCATGGCAGATGTTGATGGTGTGCTTCCGGAGTGGTGCAGGACGCTGTCTTGTCCCACTCTAGCATCACGCAGACCGCAAATGCCAGACTCTGACTGAACTGCGAACCCCTATTGTAACACTATTGTAACCCTTATGGAACCCTTCGACTAACCCTTATGATAACCCTTAGTATCATAACCCCGAAAGCCCAAAACCCTGAGAACCCGAAAGCTCTAAAACGCCGAAACCCTTGCAGTTCCAAATACCGTTGCAGTCACACTTCCAGTAACCTAAACCCCAAAGCCTTAAACCCAAAACCGTGAACCCTGAAACCCCAAACCCCACACCCGAGACCCAAAATCCAAACCCTTATCGTAACCCTTATAGGAACCCTTTTACACTGGCAGTCCGACACAGAGAGCTGCAAGTGGCCCAGCTCACGGAGCCTGCCAGAGATTCGGTTATAGGGGCCCTTATTAACCGGTAGATCCGGGTTTATTTAGAATAAAGGGTTCTTGGAAAGGTTTCCGCAAAGGGTTTCATTAAAGGGCTCTACAAGGGATATTAAAAGGCTTTAGGGCCTCTTGAATTACACTCGGGCTTTGGGGTTTCGGAGTTCCAAACGCGCACATTCTAGGCTACAGAGCTTAAAGCAGTGCATGGTTGGTGTTTTTCTCCATGGTGCTCCAGAGAGGTCTACTAATTTGTTTTGGGTTTCGGTGCGCAGTGTAATTCGAGGCTTTCGGCCTTGTATACTACGTCTTTTGCACGGGTTGCAGGAGGTTGAATCTAAGAATTACAGGGTCTGTGACGAAACCATGTTGCCGTGAACTATGCTCTGACGCCCTCAATGATATGCTATAAGGGCCCCCGAACTCTAAGCCCGCAAACACCGAACTTGCGCTGGGAGTAGTAGCAGAGGCTGCAGTCACGGTCTTGTTGTCGATGCATGGTATTGTGACCGAGGTTACTATCTCAACAATGATGAATTGGGTGACCATGCTCGCTGCCATCAGTTTCGACCAGCGTTCCTACCAATAACCCTAAGGCTCCGCGTGCTTTAGTACATATATATATATATATATATATATACATATATAGGGCTTAAAACTGGCTTAAAGGAGTTCCTACAATATAGGCATGTTAAGACCTATGTCACAATATACGATGTAAGTAACTGAAGCCGTCGGGCAAGCTGCATCAAGTAGGTAGGATGCAAAAGCCAGCCTGGATGCTGCATTTTGAGCCAAGTTCCTGCTCCTGGGGACTTTCGTGGGTCTTTCGGGAGTCTGGGATGAAAAGCTCTCATAGGATTCAGAGTGTGCTATTGTTCAGGGTTTAGGGTGTAGGGCTGGGTTATGGGCCTGGGTTCTATCTTATCCCAAACGCCGCGACCCCACAGAAGGCACTTGTTGACGGTATGGAGTTCGTCGGGTCCAGATTTTAGGGTCTGTTGAAGCCCGCGCCGCTTGTTCTGAAGCTACATTGAGAAGCTTTCCACAAGCACACCAAGCCACAGTCAAGAATTAGGTCGCAAGGTTAGGTGTACAGTGACTAATTACGTCTCTTGATAGGCGTGTCGGGGCAGCGTGGCGGATATCGGATATCACTATAATCTATGTATGGAGGGATTTGTCTTTTGCAAATCGGGTCGGGACACAAGCACAGAGTCTTGGCGACATCAACGGTGTCGCGTCACAAGTCACATTTGGCGGTTAAGGAACCTGCACGAGCAGCAAAGGTCCCACCAGCCCTTCCCAGAGAGCCCAAAACCCGTTATTCAGGGTTTAGGGTTTAGGGGTTCGGTGGTAGAGTGGGACATGGGCAAGGTTGGGGAGCTTGATCTTGGGGTGCTGGGGTTGAGGTAAGTAAACCATTCGACAGAAATTCCTGAGCTGTGCCCACACAAACTGAAGCCCGAAACTTCGTAATGGGAGTCAAAACAACCTGGAAGAGCCTGACACCAAAGAACCCGAGACCGTGGTAACCAAAAGAAGTCGCAAGCCGTCGAAACTCCTGTGACCTGCACCAGTATAAGCCCTAAACTCTAAACCCCTACAGTAAACCCTAAACCCTAAAAGACCTGCAATTGCAGTCGGGCGGCCCTGCCAAGTCCTCGTCAGCCGTTGTGTCCGCGACCTGCGCGTGATTGGTTTTAAATGATCAAGGCGCTGTGGGGTTTAGGGTTTGGGGTTTGGGTTTGTGCGTGCTTCTGGGTTTTGGGGGTGCAGGTTCTGGGTTTGGGGTTTTATGTTCAGGGTCTACGCTTAGGGGTCGCTGGGTCTCGGCGACTACCGCTTTGCGGACCCGGTCGAAGGGGCTCGAAAGGTTCGGGGTCTTCGGGTCACATCTGTGTAAAGGCTCATGGGACTTAGCAAATACGTGCATAAATAAGGCAATTATGCTTCTAAGTAGTTAAAAGCCCGGTTAAGGTAATTTTTCATACCAAGTCCCATGAATCTCCAAGTAGGGCTTAGGCGACGTCGTCGCTCTAAGTCCTGGTGGATACTGGGAAATCATTTGAAAGTAATACTGCTCAGAGTCTGCGTGTTCATGAAAGCAAAACACAGACATATCAGGCAGAGAAGATTACTAGTGGCACGGGTGAGGTTCTCAGAAGATAGATCTCGTAACTTGACTTAAACCCAAAACCAGTAAACTCTAAACCGTAAACCTCAAACTTAAATACTCCACCTGGCCGTCGTCAATCATGCCCCAGGTGAAGGGAGACCACATGTCCCCAGCCAGGTACCTCGGTTGAATAGTATAGGGCATAAAATGGGTTTAAGCTAACTACCCCTAGCTTTTCTGAACCCCTCCTTTTGTAAGCCAGGCGGCAGGCTCCAGGCCAAGATCACAGCGCACCAGGATACTCCCGACCAGCGCTGGGAGGAGCGAGCAGGGAAGGTCTTCGTCACCTTTGCCTGGAGGATGTGTTTCCTAGGGTTTAGGGTTTAGGGGTTTAGGGTTTAGGGGTCTAGGATTTAGGGTTTAGGGTTGACTCCTACTAGGAGGATCTTCGGACTTAGTAAGTAAGGTTACAAGTACCTTCATTGGGGAACTATGAGTATGGTGACCTTTTGTAAGCCAAGTTACTAAGTCCAATGATCCTCTAAGTAGGAACGTCGAAGTCGGGGAGCTTCGGGTGGCGAGGGAAGGGGACTAGGGTTTAGGGCCTAAAAGCTTAGGGTTTAGGGCTGAGGATTTGGGGGTTTCGGGTTTGGTGTCTAGGGCTTGGGTTTTAAAGTTTGTGGTTGAGGGTTTAGAGCTTAGAGGTGTTAGGGCGTCGGCCCTCTCCTGAATAAATCAAAGGGGAACAGGAGAAACCCTTAATGGGGACCCTACCCTTTTATGAGCTATATAATGGGTATATAATAGCTATATTACGGGTATATACCTAGGGGTCCTTATTCAGGGTCCCTCCTTTTACCCTTGGAATAACGGCAGCCTGCAAGCGTCGGCGGCCCTCTCTGGTTTCGGAACACGATCCTACTACTCGAAGAGCTTGTCCAAGTACCCAACCATATGTATATAGTATATACGTGTATATATATATATATACATATGTACTTGTATATATATATATATATACACATCCATATAAATGCATGTATCCATACATCCATGCATCCGGCCAAAAATCCATACATACATACATACATCCATACATACATCCATACATACATCCATACATACATCCATACATGCATCCATACATGCATACATGAATTACATTACATTACATTAAACAGTTCGCGAATACGTTAACTCATTAATACATTAAAGCACTATGACATACATACGTACTGACATACATACATTACATTACATGCATTACATACACTGCATACATTCCATGCATTGCATACAGTACATACATCATACGAGTTGCACATTATCTACCTTACACTACATACCTACCTACCTACATACATACATACAGATAGACTAGATGGGTGTCATGGTTACCAGCACAAGCACTTCCCTTCCCTCTAGTACCACTACCCTTAGCCCAAGTACCGAGCTGTGCGCCTGGTTGCTCCAGGTAGGGTTTTGTGTGTAGGGTTAGGGCGAGGGTCTCTCATCATCTGAAGCGGCTTTGCCTCAGCCAGCTCTGAAGCCTGTGGTGCTGCGGCTGCGGGCTGAGATGCCACCTGTGTTTGATAGGGTTCATAACTAGAACATAGGGATGAAGGGTCCCTGCTGTAGGTTAAACGTCATGCTCAGGGCTCAGGGGAGCCCCGGATCGCCGAGATTATGCGCAAGGCAGCTTACGGCGCGTTTTGGGTAGGCTGGGTCCGCTTTTAAGTCCTGGGTGTTGCATCGGAAGCAGACCCCAAACCCTCCTAAATCCTCATAAGCGCCGCTAAACCCTCACAAACCCTCGGAAAACCTCAGTAAACCCTAACGAACCAACGAACCCTAAACCCTAAAACCCTAAATCAATGAACCCTCATAAGCCCCTTACGACGTCCGGCGCGGCCTCGGGTGGCTCCTGCTCCTGTGCTTCTGCTGCAGAGCCAGGCTGGGAAGGCGCCTGATATTGGGTTTAGGGTTTAGGTGCTTGGAGACTGCTTGGAGTTTAGGGTTTAGGGGTTTGGAGTTTAGGATGTAGGGATTTTCGAGTTCAGGGTTTGGGAGTTTCGAGTTTAGGGTTTAGTGGTTTGGAGTTTAGGGGGTTCGCGGTTTAGATAGGGTTCAGGAATCAGGGCTTAGGATGTCGGCGCAGGGTTGTGAACGGAGGGGGCGGGTGGACAGAGCACCTAGAAGTTAAGCTTGCTGGCATCGAGCTTCAGGGTGGTGCTTAGCGCACCGTGCTTAGGGTGTAAAATTTGGGAAGTCAGGTTTCGGCGATCATCCTTGCTTACTCTTGTTTCGGCCGGGGATCAATATGACGACGATACGATGCACCACGACGAATGTGATGATGATGGTGGTGATGGTGATGGTGATGATGATGGTGATGGTGATGATGGTAATGGTGATGGTGATGGTGGTGGTGGTGGTGATGACGATGCCGATGTTGAGCTGAAGACGATTATAGCGACTATCATCCTCGTCAGCATCTCCATAACCACCACCAGCAGTGCTTCCATTGCCATTGACATCATCGATGCCTTCATCATCAGCCCTCTATCGCTCAAAAATGATATCCGAACAGCCTGCCTTGACACACGTACAACACCAAGCCTGACACAATCCGGTGGCCTCAGCAAGGGAACAAGGAACTCAGGAACCTTCATGTAGGGGCCCTAACAATTGGAATAGGGTTTTGTGGGTTCCTTATTATAGTTAATGCTATAAAATATATATATATATATATATATATATATATATTTATTTATTTAAAAAATATATATATATATATATATATATATATATATATATATATATATATATATATATATATATATATATTTATTTAAAAAATATATATATATATATATATATATATATATATATTTATACCCCCAAGCCCTATTCTAAACATTCGGGCCCCTACATTCAGGACAGGAGCGCTTAGAACGCCCCGGCCTCTGACTCCGCAGCTGCCAGGGGGGGCTCCGAAACTTCCAGCCTGGGGTGACCAGGGTTTAGGGTTTAGGGTTTAGGGTTTTAGGGTTTTAGGGTTTTAGGGTTTAGGGTTTAGGGTTTAGGGTTTCAGGGTTTAGGGTTTATGGTTCAGGGTTTAGGGTTTTTGTTTTTTTTTGAGGACCTTTTTCCAGCTGCAGTACAGTTGGAGAGCTCCAATGGAGCAGGCAACTAACCTCGGCCCGGCCGCCTCTAAGGGTTTAGGGTTTGGGGTCTAGGGATAAGGGTTTAGGGTTTAGGGATAAGGGATAAGGGTACTATAAGGGATCTTTAAGGGTTACTATAAGGCATCTTTAAGGGTTACTATAAGGGATCTATAAGGGTTACTATAAGGGATCTAGAAGGGTTACAAAAAGGGTTGCTATAAAGGATCTAAACGGGCTACTATAAGGGATAAGGGTACTATATTATAGGGGGCTTAATAATCCTATAACTTACCTTGGGTTCGTAGGGAATGGAGGAATGGGGCACAATTGTAACTACTATTACTACCATTCTTCCATTCCCTACTAACCACAGGTAACGTGTTCCAGGGAGCAGAACTGTCGGAGCTTTTCGGAGTCGGTCTTTAAGATTCAAACTTTATACGGTTTAGGGCTTAGGGGTTTAGGGTTCAGGGTTTAGGGTCTAGGGTTTACGGCTTTATTAGGGGTCTTCGAGACCGCAGACGAACGAATACTCTCCCGGAAGTGTAAAGGAACCCTATTAAGGAACCTATAAACCCTCACACCCTATAGACCCCCCTTATAGGAACCCTAAGAAAGCAGACAGATAGCCTACAGAACCCCTTATAGGAACCCCAAGAAAGCAGACGGCCAGCCTACAGAACCCCCTTAAAGGAACCCTAAGAAAGCAAAGGGATAGCCTACATAACCTCCTTATAGGATAGCCTACAGAACCCCCTTAAAGGAACCCTAAGAAAGCAAAGAGATAGCCTACCGAAAGCCTCCGAGGCCCCGCGCGTAGAAAGGTCGGGCTCGAGCGTGGAGGCAGATGAGCTGGCGACCTGGAGCTGGCACTCCGCGGCGGGCTCCTGGTAAGGGCCACCAGGGTTTAGGGCTTTAGGGGTTTGGGGGTTTGGGGTTTAGGGTTTAGGGCTTAGGGCTTTAGGGGTTAAGGGTTTAGGTAAGGGGTTTAGGGGTTAAGGTGTTGCAGTCTAGGGTTTAGGGCTCAAGGGGTTGAGGGTTTAGGAGTTTAGGGCCTCCTCCTTAGGGTCAAAGGTTCAGGGTATGGGGCTCCATTAAGGGATCTTTAAGGTTCCTTTTTGGGATTTGGTAAGCTGCGGTTATTTGGTTTAGGGTCATACCTAGGGCTCCAGTTACCGCAAAGGTTACTAACCATGTATGATATACCCCAGTAACCTACTTACTACTTAGGTACCTGGAGCCCTAGGGAAAGGTTAGGGTTTAGGGGTTTAGGGTAGAACAGCCAGCAAGGGTAAGAAACGTACAAAAGACTGCTTGACACCATTTCGCAGAAAGTCATGGCGGCTGAGAATGATGTCCATTGGAGCAGGAGTCGCAGGTGTACAAGTTCGAGACTGTAGAAGCTCAGACGGTTTGAATTTGTTAGTTGTGACTTGTGGCTGAGTGTTCGACAGTTTAGCAGGCAACCCTGAACCCTAAACCCTAATAGATCCCTTATAGTACCCTTATGGATCCCTTCAAAGGCACCCTTACAAGTCCCGAAACCCCTCAAACCCATAACCCCTACACAAATTCCTATCAGTGGTCTATACCTATAAGGGATCTATAACTATAACGGATCTATAACTATAAGGGATCTATAAGGGTACTATACTACAGGGGCTGAAAAAATCCAAAAATTCCCTTGTAAGTCCCTAAACCCCTAAGAAACCCATAACCCCTCAACAAATTCAAGAATCCGGGGGGCGCCTGGGCTCGACGCTCCTCGCGCAGCTTCTGACGCTCTCTTGGCCCGGGCCGGGCCTCTTCTGGGTTTGGGGTTTGGGGGTTCCTTTAAGAGTTCCTTTAAGGGATCTATAGGGTTTGCCCGGGCCGGGCCTCGAAATCGAGCTTTCTGGTTTGGGGTTTGGGTTTAAGGGTGTGGGGATTTAGGGTTTAAGGGTTCAGGGTTTAGTGGTTTAGGGGTTTATGGGTTTTGGGCTCACCCGGGGTTTGGGGTTTAGAGTTTCAGGTCTGGTGCTTGGGATTTGGGGTTTGCAGTTTAGGGTGTAAGCTTGGGTGGGACGCACTGCCCAACACTGCGGGCAGCATCATGAGCATCAGCTGCTGCGGTTGCCACACTACATCCCCTGCAAACGCCGCATCATGAGCATCAGCTGCAGCAGCTTCCACACAAGAATTCTTGCGAACACCGCATCATGAGCATCAGCTGCAACAGCTTCCACGCAAGAATCCCTGCACACACCACACTTTAAGCACCTGCCGCGATGGTTTCCACGCACCAAGCCCGCCACGAGCAGCATCATGAGCATCAGCTGCAACGGTTTCCACACTACAACGCCTGCAAACGTCGCATCATCAGCATCAGCTGCAGCAGTTTCCACACGAGACTCCCTGCAAACTCCGCACTATGAGCACCACGTGCTAACAGACACCGCATCATAAGCTTCGGCTGTAGCAGCTTTCATCCGTGCTAACGCTGCAGTATGAAAATGTGACGCGACGGCTTCCACGCGCTAACGAGCAGCATCATGAGCATCAGCTGCAACGGTTTGCGCGCTGCAGGCCCTGCAAAAACCGCATCAGAAGCATCAGCTGCAACGGTTTCCACACAAGAATCTCCCCAACGCCCCGAGCAGCATCATGAGCATCAGCTGCAACGGTTTCGCGTCATGAGCATCAGCTGCAGCAGCTCCCACGCGAGTATAAAACTCCCATATGGATGCAACCGCTCTGACTGAAGTTGATTCTCAAGAAGCTTTATACGAGCCCGAGGGTTTGGGTTCGGGCTTTCGAGGGCCTAGGGTAGATTGGGCTTGATGGCTTAAGGATTGTTTCTTGCCGCCTTCAGGCTGTATGCTTTAAGGTTTGAAGTTTTGGGTTTAGGGAATATATTTTAATTGAACTTAGCATTAATTCAGGCCTTCTGGGTTTGTGCTTGGCAGGGTTTGGACGCTGGGGTAGAAGAATTTGAAGGGTTTGGGGTTAAGGCCAAGCCCTGTAGAGCCCACATTAGACGTCTCGCCATTCACCCCAAGCCCTACCCAGCCTTCGTCCGGGTGCTCGGGGTCAGGTTGCTCAGCGAAACTGCCTAGCACGGCGCCGAAGCTGAACGGGAAATCGCGGAGACAACCGCAAGACATCGCACAACAATACTTAGAGGTTCATGGGACTTAGCAACTATGGCTGTAAAATAAGGTAACTACACTTGTGATTGGATATTATAACCCGGCTTAAGGTACTTGTGACTGTCTTACTAAGTCCCATGAACCTCTGAGTAGCTCTCGAAACCCTAAACCCTGCATCAAAAGAGAAACACCAAAAGCCTGAAAACTAGCACCCCCGGATCCAACCCCGAACTCTGCCCTAGTCGCGCCAAACCCTAAAGCCCCGAACCGATGATTCAGGAAACCCAGGAGGGAAAGTCCTTTCAGCGAGTCTTGAGGTCATGATATTATTGCCATCCTGGGTTTTTCTGGTCGTTTCAGGGTTCCACCCACAGAAGAAATTAGACTTTGAGGCATTCGGTCATCTACCATAATGCTGCCCTCAATCTCCTCCGGACCCTCATCTGAGTTGACATGTAGGCTTACAGGGTTTACAAGGTCTTTCGACCTCATGCGTAAGGTCTAGGATTCAACCTCAACCTCAGACGTCAAAGTCACTCACCGGAAACAGGAAAACCTGCAATCCCTCAAACCCCAAACCCAAAACCTAAGCCCCAAAGAACACCGCTGCCCTTCAGCCACACCTGGGCAGCCATCATCTTCACCATATCCTCCTGGAGAAATTCGGATGGGCCCAAGGTGGACTGGAGCTCAAGACTCCAAAGGAATATACCTTGAATTAGAAGAGGATCCCTCGTACAGTTTAAGGAATATTCCTTCATTAAGGGATATTAGCGTGTCTGGGTTCTGGTCTAGCGAAGATCATGAGTTTTTATGATGGGAAGGAGGCCATGAGTTTTAGATGAATTTACTGAGGTTTATGCAAGGAACTTCACGAGTTTAAAGATGAGGAGGTCATGGAATGACCATGAGCTTTGTGATGCTTGTTGTCGGGTTTTTAATTAAGGGCTTCCTGGCTAGTAGGGATTACAGTTGAAGGATTAGCGGACGCAGTTCGGGCTTCCCGCCAAAACATGCACACAAGCCTCTATGTCAGGATGATCAAGTGACGGTTTAGGATTTATAGGGTTTAGGGGTTTCTGTATATGTGACACGACTTGGTTTTCTCCAACTCCGCTGTTGAACTTTGAACGACTGAACTCAAAGCCCTATCAAAACCGTAGCGAAAATCCTAAACCCATTACCCCGCACCTTTGATCCAAAATCGTTTCCGGAAGGGAAACCAGCCAGGCTTCCGCTCCCCTTGCCTGGTGCTGCTGCCGCTGCAACACCTTGGCCGACTTCTCAACCCCTCCTAAAAGTCAAACTTCTCGTCTCCTTGTCATAGTTCATATAGAAACCCAGAAAGTTAAAGTCCTATAAAAAACCAGGGGAACGCCAAGACACCAACTGCATCTCCAGGTGCTGCAAGTTGTGGCTCAGCTGAGCCACCTGCACTTCATGCGCGAGGGGCGGCTAGTGACTAATTAGAGCACCGGGCGAGGCTTCAGAGTTGGAGTTTGGCAGGATTTAGGAATGCTATCGTACAACTGTACCACTACCGAGACGTATAGAGACTGCCAATTCTTGGACACACATACGGCTGCTTCTGGGGGATACAAAATGTACTTGACAATTGTGCATGCACGCGCACATAAACATATGCCCACATACACAGACAAGCACAGGAATGTGCAAACATGCCAACATAATTCTACAGATAATCAGATAGGACTTATAGGAGGGTGGGCGAGTGGGTGGTGGGGTGGGGTGGTTGTGGGTGGGTATATGCCACGGCTTGCCGATATACGCCCTAGACCATAAACATGAACCTAAACTCCCAAAACCCTGAACACCTAAACTCCTAAACCCATAAACCCCTAGACCGTAATCCCTACACCCCTAAACCCTTCCCTAGACCTCTAAACCCCTAAACCCTAAACCCTAAACCCCTAAACCCTATAGATCCCCCCTAAACCCTATAGATCCCTTAAAGGAACCCTTAAAGGAACCCTTAAAGGAACCGTATAGATCCCCTAAACACTAAACCCTACATCATTAAACAAAAGCCGCCGGGTGGCTGTGGCCAACTGCCCTGCCATCTGCGAAAGCTGGGCCTGGCGATGATTCACAAGGCTCAAAAGGGGAAAAGGAGGGGCCCTTTAAAGGGGATCTATAGGGGTTCTATAAGGGTATAGGGTTTAGGGTTTAGGGTTTTGGGGTTTAGGGGGTTTAGGGGAAAAGGAGGGGCCCTTAGGCTCTTAGGGTTCCTTTAAAGGGATCTATAAGGGTCCCTTTAAAGGGATCTATAGGGTTTAGGGTTAGTTTAATCAAAGGGGAGAAGGAGGGACCCTTCATGGGGACCCCAACCCTATAATGGGCTAGACAATGGGTATATAATAGCTATATTAAGGGTATATAACTAGGGGTCCTTATTAAGGGTCTCCTGTTACCCTCGGAAAGGCTCCAACAGGCTCCAATAATCACATAGGCAAATGGGAGTTTCCGAAAAAAATTGGGTACCTTATTTTGGGTTCCTTGTAATAAGAATCCTACTGCTTAGGGGACTATATTAGGGTCCCCTATTTTCGAAAACTCCCAAATATTGGAACATATAGGAAGCTGAGTATGTAATATGATGTAAGAATGTAACCTGAGAATGTGGCAAAAGACTATACACTGGTATAACGAGATACTTACACTGGGGTGTACTATTTTGGATTTGATGGGAGACCAAAAGGGGGGTTTAAGATTCTTGGGGTAGGGGTTCCTTCATATGAACCCTATTATGGGAACCCTAATCCCTACTAAACCCCCATAGGCTAAAACCCCTTGTGGCCTCCTATGAGGATTGGAGGCCTCGGGGATCTCTTCTCGCGGCCCTTCTCGGAGAATCGTCGGTCGTGCATCCTTCGGGCCTTTTGTCATACGGACCCTTGGGGGGGGTAGGGGGGAGGGGGGTAGGGGACTATACATGCTTAAATAGGCCTTATTAAGTCCTTATTGTGGGTATTAAGGCCCTTTTGATTCTGGTTCCTACTAATTAAGCGGTTTCTGTAAAAAGTTATGTACAGGTATTAACATTACTACAGAAAAATTTATGGGGCTTCGTGTTAAAGATTCCTTTTACAGAGTTCTATCTACGGGTTACTAAACGGCATACCTACTATAAATGCTCTAGTATATGGGCCGTAACAAATAGGTTAGGGGTTTGGGGTATACTCAGCATCGGCACACTGAGGAGCCCTGAGGAACAATGAACAATGTTACTAGTTGTTCAGGCTGCTTAGTATTTGCTGAGTTCATAATTAGGCCCCAAAAAGTGTACACTTTCAGTTTTATGGTGAGTGATATTATCCCCAAGAGTATAAAGTGTGTCCACTCAGCTACTAAGGCTTCATCAACATGTAACATGAGTTTGCTAGACTGGCGCCCGGAGGAAAGACCCGGGCTTCAACATCAGCCAATCCGGGACCTGAACCCTAAACCTAAATCCCAGACGACAGACAAGGAAACCCCAAAATTTGTCCTAAGCACCGTGCCCTATCTCCCAACGCCCAAACGGAGAACCGAAACCCCAACCCCTAAAGCCCTAAACCCTACGAAACACGCGCAGGTGCCATGCGCCTGGGTGGCCTGCAGCTGCTGCTCCAGAAGGCCAGTTCCTAGGCAGTTTCACGGGCATGGAAGGCTTGCAAGGGTTTAGGGGTGTGAAATTAGGGTTTAGGGTTTAGGGGTTTAGGGTTCGTTTGGGGTAGTATGAAAAGGTGCGGAGTTTGGAGGGCTGTGGCTCAGAAAGGTTCAGGGTTTGGTTTAACCTCAGGTTTAGGTTTCGGGATGGAACCTATCCGCCTATCCCTCAAAGGGTCAAAGGGTGAAAGGGGCGACGGTTTCAGGGTCCGACTAGCCGGGCACCTGATATTTAGGTGCGGGCTTGAAGCTATGAGGCTTTCGGGTTTGACACATCGCAAGCACCTTTATCCCACCTTCCCTTTGACTACTCCATGTGCCGAAATCGATAGGATGGTTTCGTCAAGAGTTCCTGCAAGTTCTGGGATGGGGTAGTGGATCGGCAGGCAACAACGTCTATGCTGGCGCGGAAGAAATAACAAAGCGTCGGCATTGCAGCTTCTGTAGCATCAGCTCAAACAGACAGACACTGTAAGTTCCTCGCTTTTGTCTTTTGCTTGCTCCAAGAATAAAGCGGGGCCTTAATAGTCAAAACATAGTATACGGCTATATTCTGATAAGGAGCCCTAAGGAACGTGTGTTCGAGATAACTCAGGCCTGTAGATTCATGTGCTTCCGGCCTTTGCTCTGGGTTTTCTGAATAAGTGAGCCGAGACCCTGCGCGGACCCTGGTTGCCACGCACAGATTTGCCCCCTTATGCACCCGACTTGGAGGATCATGGGACTTAGTAACAAAGGTTATGACCACCATATAAACGGGCTATATAAGTAGTTATAAGTATTAGGTTTTCCATCAGAGCCCTGGATGTACTAAGTCTCATGATCGTCTAATGAAAGTAAGCCCCAAACCCACACCCCCAGAGCCCGTAGCCATGAATCACAAAGCTCTAAACCCCTAAATCCCTAAAAACCCTAAACCGCTAAACCCCCAAATCCCTGAAGCCCCAAAGCCCTAATCCCCAAATCCCTGAATCCCTAAATCCCAAAGTCCCTAAAGCCCTAAATCCCTGAAGCCCTAAATCCCAAAGCCCCTGAAGCCCTAAATCCCTAAAGCCCTAGAACCGTAAACCCCAATGTCCCTAAAGCCCTAAATCCCTAAAGCCCTAGAGCCGTAAACCCCTAAATCCCAAAGTCCCTAAAGCCCTAAACCCCTGAATCCGTAAACCCAATGTCCCTAAAGCCCTAAATCCCTAAAGCCGTAAACCCCAATGTCCCTGGTGCTTGTAATGGCGTGGTTGCAGCGTCACGTTGTGTGAAGGAGCGGTGCTGGGCGTTGGAAAAGTCTAGTGTTCGGGGTTGTGACCCACATGGGCTGTGAGAATCAGGTAACTTGGTGATGAGGTAGGTAGCAAGCAAGACAGGCCTGCCTTGCCGTTCTGTCCATACCCGTGCACAAAGGCCGGTCCGATCACCGCATCGCTCTGAGGGGGAGAGTCTTAGGGTTTAGGGTTTAGGGCCGTTTAGGGTTTAGGGTTTCCCTAAACCCGAAACCCTAAACCGTTCTTGTCCATGAAAAGACCAGGTCCCGGGAGGCTGCAGACCAACATCCCAAAGCCCCTAAAGCCCTACATCCCTGAACCCTAAGGCCTCAAACCCCAAAACCCCAAAGTCCCTAAAGCCCTAAATCCCCAATTTCCCTAAAGCCCTAAATCCCTCAAGCCCTAAAGCCCTAAATCCCAATATCCCTAAGCCCTTATAATCCCTAAACCCTAACCCCCCAAATCCCAATGTCCCTCAAACCCTCAACCCTGAACCACGTAGGGCCCAGCTGCTGGCACTGAGCAGGCCGACATCGCTCCAGTGCTCAGGAGTTGAAACCTCCGGGGGATCGACCTGCGGGTTCTTGCTGAGGAGTTTTAAGTTTAAGCTACCATAATGGGGGTCTATAAGGGCTCCTTTAAGGGGATCGACCTGCAGTTTCGGGGATTTGGGGGGTTAGGTAACGGCTAGGGTTTCGGGTTTACGGGCTAGGGGTTTAGGGTTTAGGGTTCAGGGTCTAGGTTTTAGGGTTTAAGGGCTAGGGGTTTAGGGCTTAGGCTTTAGGGGTTTAAGGGTTTAGGGTTCAGGGCTTTTAGGTTTAGGGTCTAGGGTCTAGGGCGGACGTAGGTCGGGCTTTTCTGTTAGATTCCTTCAAAGGTTCCTGTGATGGCCCTTTTGCGAAGGAACCCTTGAAGGGGCTCTCAAGGAAACTCTTAAGGGTACTACTGTAGGATTCCATTATAGAGTCCCGTTTAAAGTGTGCGTCGAAGTCTCCTTTCAGGTTGTCTTTGAGGGTTACTCCACTTATAAGTGTAGCTGGCCATGAACTGTTTGGGAGACTGGGGGTTAAGGGATATCGGGCCTGGGTGCAGAGGGTACTTAGAGGTTCATGGGACTTAGTAACTAGGGTGATAATTAAGGTAACTACACTTATATGTACTTATAACCCCCAGTAAGGTACTTATAACTGTACTTGCTAAGTCCCATGAACCTCCAAGTAGGGTTAAGGTTTGCGGTCTATCCCCTCCCCTTCTTACACGCAAGACGCTCCTTCGCTGACCTCGCGTTCGACGCCACTTCCTCGGCACCCCTTGAAGCTAAGCCATAAGCCCTTAACCCTAAACTCTAACCCTAAGAAGCTATCGAGGTCTTCTGGAACCTGAAAAGGACTGCACTACTTTGTTTTGGTTTCGGAAAGATCCAAGCACCATTTCCAAGGTTCTTGTTGAGGAATTTAATTTAAGCTACCATAATAAGGAAAGAAAAGTGTTCACTAGAGATCCCGACTATGGCATACTATGACAACTTAAATGTTCCTTAACAAGAACCCGGCCTATCACCCCAAACCCTAAACCCTAAACCCATAAACCCTAAAGCCTGAACCCTCATTTCACCGGCCTGCTCCCAGTCTCCCATGGCGTCTTCGGGATCTGCAAAGGTGAAGTCCAAGGGGACGGCTGGAGCCATGCGGCGGGGCGACCGTGGCTTCTCCCTAAAATCCTAACGGACTCATACCGAAGCTTCTTTGCCCGAAACCCATGTAGACCTAAGGTCCTCCGAGTGGGACGTTAACCCTAAACCTGAACGCCAATACCTTGAACCGAAAAAGCAGGGCCATTGCCTACAGAAACCCTCAACCCCAAACCTTAATCTCTAACCCTAAAACCTAACCCTAAACCCCAAACCTTAATCCCTAACCCTAAACCCTAACGCATATACGCTGAATTGCCTATGTCGGACATGCATCTTTTGCAGTGCGCCGGAGTGGCCAAGCCAGAGCCGCTTGCGGCGGGCAGAGAGAAGGTCCGGCTTCTTTCTTTGGGGGCCCAAAACCCTAAACCCTAAACTTTAAACCCTAAACCGTTAGAGTTTAGGGATTCGGGGTTTAGGGTTTAGGGATTCCTTCATAGTTCGGGTTTGGGGATTTAGGATTTTGGGTTTTGGAGTTTAGGGGGCCTTAACTAGTGGAGTTTAGGGATTTGTGTTTAGGTTTCCGAGCTTAGAGGGCCTTAATCTTAATCATCGGAAGTGAGTTGTTGTCATCGTGTATTGGCAATATTGCGGCAGGACGAAGCACCAAGGATACACCGGGTACCGCTCCGGTCCGGTACAAAAAACAAAGTATGATTCAGAAACGAAGTACCAACTACTCCGCTATCGAGGCCACGTAATTTGAGCCTGAGTTCACTCCGCTACTCTGTAAGAGGTCTCAAGACAATAAAGGTCCAGTAGGTCAAACCCTTTGTTCTGCTGATGTAGGGACTCTGAGGGAGGTCTGCTCCTGATATTCGTTTTGGTTTACCCATGTTGACGGACCTTTCTTCGATTGTCGGGTCCTTAATGATTAGAGTAGGTCTTTGGGGTACATTATACTATAACCATTATTAAACAACCCCCCGTGCTAGTATTGGTAAATATCTAGGCCCCTATAGTACCCCACAAAACAAAACCCTAAACCCAACATACCCGGCTACTGAAAACTGAGAATCCCAAGCGCTTGCTGTCAAAACGGCATAGGGCTTGAAATCTTGGGTTTCGACTTTTCTTTTAACTGACTACGCCCCCCTGTAGTGCTCCAGGGGTTTGGGTTTAGCATCACATGCTCTTAACCGGTGCAACAAACACACGAAACCGTATGCAACTTCGACACAGAGCGGTCTCAGGAGGCAAAGCTGCAAAGAGTAGTGAAACAAGTTAGGCACAGAGCTCAACACTTCAGTGCACAATCCTTGCATCGGCCACTGCATGGTTGAAGGTGAATATGCAGTGGGCCGAACATGATTTCCTTAAGTCCGAAACCCCCAGCCCAGGAAAGAGCCCGAATCACGAAGCCATGGAGCCTGATCTGGGTGGTTTCGAAAATAGCGGATGGTGGTGTCCAATTTTTAGCAGGAACCCGATTTACGCATTGCAGCCTTAACCCCCAACTCCACCTGGCACCCTCCACCCGTAAGCTCGGAATCCTTACAGTAACCCTCATAGAACCCTTATAGTGAAGATAGAACCCCTATTATATACTAGCATATAGTATTTAAAACTTACAGATCCCCGGTGCTACGCTGCCGCCCCCATCTTTTTCCATCCCAGAGCGGCGGCACCAGAGCGGGCGTCTGCGCGGAACCCTGAGGCAGTATACACCGGAGCTGCAGTTCGTTTAAGGGGGTTCCTGTAGCAGTCGTATAAGGGCCCTAAAAGGGTAATTGTCAAAATTCCGTCGTGGGGAACCCGAGAAATTTCCACTCTTACGATAGTTGGGGTACTGAGCAGGGAACCCCGTTTTGACAATCACCCGTAAGTTGGAGTTTCAGTCTCAGTGTCTCGAAGTTGGAGGGTTCCTGGAACGGGGCCTGGGGTGTCGGGGTTTGGGATTCTAGGGTTTTTAGCGTGTCAGGCTTGACAAAATGGGGTCTTCGAGAATTTAGCAGCGATTTGGGTGTCATACCCTACAAGTATGGAAGGGGCAATGCCCTACCATTTAGTCGGCTCTGAGGCTGGAGATAGGTTTCCCCATTCTGTCCACTAACCTTCCTTCCAGAAAGACCTCCTCCTGCTGCTCCATACCTGAGTTCATTGGGGAATCTGGGGTTTAGGGATTTAGTAACGTGATACTCAGTTCTTAGATGTTCTTAGCAAGGGGAACCCATCGTTAGAAAAGACTCCGAATGAAAAAAGGTGTTATAAGCGCAGTCTGCTGGCCTAAAGTAGTTCTGACTTGTCTTTTTCCTTCCGTCTGCGCTCTTGTTGTCTCCGTTGTTCTGAAGCTCTTGGATTATTACACCCTGAACCCAAAAACCCTAAGCACAAGTCCCTGTGGCCTTCAGTTGCTCATAAACATCCAGTCGGGGTAGCTGCTGGGCGCTGGAGGACAGCAGACGCAAACCGTACCTTTTGAGCTGCGTTGGCTGCATATGGGGTGTTGGAACCCAGAGATTCCAATATCCCTGAATTAGGGAATATGCCTTAAATCAGGTCAGGGATCCTACTATAACTTGAAGTATATTCCTTAATTCAGGGATATTGGAGTCTCTGGGAATATCGAATGACACTACGGCAGCTTATACCGGGTCGGACTCGGGGAAGTTTAGAGCTTAGGGCACAATGTATAACTGGAGTTGAACCACCTTAATATGTTCAGAGACCACGCCACCTAGATTTCAAAACGGTCGCGGGCAGGCTACTCGCGGAACAGCCTACTGTGGACACATGCGCCATAGATCGACAGAGAGAATGTCACGAGGGACTAGACACTACTGTGACTAGTGTAGGCAAAACAGGGCCCTTTAGCTTTCTTATTATTCAGGGATTCTTACTTGCTACTGGGAGTCTATTCATTACTGTCAATCATTCGATATTTTAATCCTTCCACCCTCGCGTGCCAACAGCTCTGAAATCATGGTTCTGTTTGACACTACCTGCCTTGAAAGCACCCAAACCCTGAACAGTCCCTGGGGAGGAAACTCGAATTTGAACGACGTTGATCCTGAACAGCCCCTCTATGAAGAAGCCATTCCATTAGGCAACTCAGTAGAGAACCCAATGAACTCCCTCAAACGACGGAGCAATTCAGATGGCCCTGTACCACCAACGCCAAATTCTCAACACCTAACCCAAACTAAAACCACAACCCAAAACCGCAAACCCCAAACCCTAAACCCTAAACCCGCAAACCCCTAAAACCCCAAGGACCTGTCCCATTGGTGCCTCGCGGGTTCGGACCGGAGAGCCCGTGGTGGATCCTGAGAATCTTCTACTCCCGGCACTAGGATCAAAGACTAGGACTTACCTGGAGGTCCAAAAGCCTACTGTTTTAGGGGAGTTAGGGGGGCATACCCCACTATTTTGTTGGGTTTGGAGCTACAGGTTTTGTCTAGGGTCAGGGTTGTGGCGTTTAAGGGCGACGGAGTGTCGGGAGAAACGGGCTCAAGGCTGCACAGGATTAACGTGATTTGTTCCCAGTGCTATGGTCTTGAAGTGCGTCTTGACCTTACTTGGAGATTCATGGGGAGTTGTAAGTACTAAACCCTGTCAACCTCCGAAAATTGAGCTAGAATCCAAGAACCTGCAACACGCCAATGATGCCCAACGAAAAATGCAATCTACACCATGTGAGAACCCTTTGAAAGACTACCCACCAAATCCCTAAACCCTAAACCCCATGAACCCTATAAACCCTAAACTCTGAACCTTTTCGAACCCTGAAAAACCCTAAACCCTAAAACCTTAAAAGCCCTATGAAGCCTTAGGATACATAAAAGCCCTACCTATAGTCACTATAGTCTCTCCATTGTAGTTCCTTGTTTTTGTTTAACCAGTTATATAATTAGGATCCTATAAGGTACCCCCAAAACTGGAACTACAATGGAGACTATAGGTAAATCCTAAAAGCCCGACCTAAGCCCTAAACCGCCAAAAAACCCTAAACCCTAAACCTTAAAAGCCCTATGAAGCCTTAGGATACATAGAAGCCCTAAATCCTAAAAGCCCGACCTAAGCCCTAAACCGCCAAGAGCAAGTCAAAGGCGCGGCTACCAGGATCCTCGCGCCCCCGCGAAGTCCAGAAAGCCTCGGATGTAGTAGAAGCTGCCTTTACAGTTAACCCCGTAAAGTTGGAAACCGGATTAAGGCCAAATAGTGCTGGGATTCCCTATGCATGACTCTTAAGGAGTGAGGCTATGGGGTTTCCAACTTTTGGGCTTCTACTGTAAAGGAACCCAAAACTTTAAGGGTTCCCTTTAATGGCTCATTTTAAGGAGTCCCTGAAGGGCTCCTTTAAGGGCTCCCTTTAAGGGCTCCCTTTAAGGATTCCTTTAAAGATTCCTTAAGGGACCTGTGGCTCTGCGGGGTTTAGGGTTTAGGGTTTAGGGGGTTTAGGGTTTAGGGGGTTTAGGGTTTAGGGTTTTGGGGTTTTAGGGTAAAAGGTTTTGGGTTGAAGGATTCAGGCTATAGCGTCTGGGATTCGAGGACTTGCGGTTCAGCGATCTCAGTGTTCCTGAGAATACTCTTCGCCTAAATCCCTAAACCCTCATCCCTAAACCCTAACGAGGCTTGAAACTTAAAGTCAATGCTCCTTCGTTTCCTCGTGAAGAATGTCTCTGACAGAGTCCAAAGAAAGCATAGGTGCTTGCAAAAATAGAGGTGTAGGGTCTTGGGCTTAGGTCTAGACCTCACATCGTTCGATCATCATCCTTGCTTCGTGCTCACCTGCGGGGGTGACTGACTCCTCGTTTCCAGGAAAGGCGAAACAAACGACGGTCAACGGGTAATTATGCGGCCAGGTCATCAAAGTTTAACTCTGTGATGCATTGCTGTTACCAACGGAGATGGAACAACAAACCCAAGTGCTCTCCCTTAGCATCAGTGTTACGATATCCAGCATACACAGAGCGTTGCACCCTGACTGCAAGTTGAACTCAAAAGGAGATCTTGTTCCAACACCAAGTCCCAAGTCCGGATCTAAAAACGATCACTGTTGGGTGTCTTCGAATTTCCTGCTCCAAGGAACCCGTCCTGCAGCACTTTCAACGTGGCCTCCTGCATGTGCCCCTAATGAGGAACTTGGGGTTTATAGGGCTTGAGCTTGAGGTTAAGAGTTTAAAGAACTCATTGGTAATCATTTGGGACGGCACACATCGATGACCGTGGCCAGCAAAGTGGATGAACAAAGCTAACCCCTAGACTCTACTTGGAGGTTCATGGGACTTAGAAACTGGATGAGCCTGAAACAAAAAAGAGCTGAACCCCTACTTTGAGGTTCATGGGACTTAACAAACCAGATTAGAAGTAGCTTAGTTAGGGCTATAAGTTGGCTATAAGTGTGTAAAAGTGTAGTTGCCTTTTCCGTAACCCTAGTTACTAAACCCCATGAACCTTCAAGTAAATCCCGGTTAAACCCCCAAATGGCCTAACCCCTCAAACTCCAACGGCGAACAAAGGGCCCAAGATCCAAGAATGAAGCGTCGAAGCTCCAGTGTTTAGCTAACCACCGAATCACCTCCGAAACCCGTAACCGCATAAACCCCATGAACCCTAAACTCTGCACCCCATAAGCCCATAAGCCCTAAATTTCAGGGCCTTTCGGCGCCTTGACTTCTGCAATACATCTTCAGTGTAGAGGTTGCTTTATAAGGAGTGGGAGTCTGTTTGTTTGGGAAGGTCCTTGCAAAAAGACGCCTCAGTGATCAGAATAGGGTTCTGGGGTATACTAAGATGATTAGCTTCTTCTATGGTATAACTACATGTTAAGGCCTATCATCGACAAGTATTCATGGCTCTACATTGGAAGGGTCGAGTAGAATTCAAGGAGGTTGCTCCATGCAACACCCAGTCCTGCGGCAAGTAAAGGAAGACAACATCTGCAGAAGCTATATCCACCGTCGCCAGATCCTGAGCTATCACAGGAAAAAAAGGAAACGGTTTACGGGAGTTCAAGATACCTAGCAAAAACTGCCCAGGCCCATTCCCCATTCGCCGAAATTTTACCTGGCACCGCCCGCTGACGATTCCTCTCGGATCTCCAGCCTGAACTCAAGGCCTTAAAGTAACAGCCAGAAAGTTGGAATATGGTTATCCTAAACCCTTTATGGTAAGTTAGAAGGTATCCTACCCTGAAACCATATTCCAACTTTCTGGAGTTCCCTTTAAGCTTGAAACTCTGCAACCCCGAACCACCTCCCATCGTTTCAGAGGACCTGGTTCTCAACATTCACAAGCCTAAACCCTCAACCCTGAAAGCCGAGAATCCAGCGCACGAATACCGGGCCTTCACAACTCACTTGGGGTCTTGGGGGGCATCTCCTATCACTGTATAGCTACACGGCGATAGTACTGTATCATAACCCTAAGCCCTAATGCTCGGCACCTTGCGAAACTATGCCTTAAGCTGCTTCTTAGGAATTATGGCAACCAGAACTGTAAAAATATTTCCAAGTACCCCTAAGACTTCGGCGCTACAAGGCGATAGAACTGCTGGTGCTGCGGCCAAGGATCTCCCTGCACGAACTGGACGATGCCTCACCACGAGGCATGAGAGTGTGCACGGAGGGGCTTGTAATATTAATAGTTAGTAAGTTGGAATACGGTTCTGGAGACTATTATGCTGTAGGAATGGGGTTTTGGAGAATAGTATACAACCGTGTTACAAGGGCTTTGTCGGAAGACTCGTACTAACTGTTTCGAGCCCTATACTTACGACTTTGCGTTTCCAGTGTCTAGAGCTTCGGTTTTGAGGGGTCAAAACCGAGTTTCAAGCTTCGACTGCCATTTCCACGGCTTGCATGCAACGGGCTTCGAGTTCGTGGTTTCCTTCGTTCGAGGATGGTCTTACCAGGGGGCTTCTTGGTGAAGCTTGATTGACTCCTTTTGCCGGGTGCTTTTAACTACCAACTCATTCTTGTCCTGGTTCAACATAGACCTACGGTTTGAAGGTTCGTGGTCTGGGCTCAAGGACCTCAACTGAGATGGGTTCGTGTCGCTCTTGATTCTATGCATCCGCTGCGCATCTTCTGAAACTGTTTCAGCTTTACAAAAGAATCGTTCTGTTGCACTCTTGTGGTGGTGGTGGTGGTGGTGGTGGTGGTGGTGGTGGTGGTGGTGGTGGTGGTGGTGGTGGTGGTGGTGGTGGTGGTGGTGGTGGTGGTGGTGGTGGTGGTGGTGGTGGTGGTGGAGAGAAGGACGGTTTTCCTGAGAATGGTCCTTAGGAGAGAAAGGACATCAGTGACATCAGGCATCTACCTAAGAGCCGATGGTATTCGCGACCTTTCCCAATCCTTGAACCTGATCCGACTTTGCATGCATCGCCTTTTTCAACTTTGGCGGCAAAGCACGAAACTGCCGCTAAGAAACCGAAAATAACGTTGGTTTTGCCCGAAGTCGCAGTGAACCCACAAACCCTCGACCCCAAACCCTAAGCCCTACACCCTCAACCTTACGCAGGCCTCGCAGGCTGTCCGGCACTTGATCCACGCTTTGCCTCACGAGCTGCGCGTCCATCTCCACACCGACCTAAGGGTAACGGGTATAGCTGCCAACCTCATGTCCCCCGCGAATGCAAGAAGGCCATGCTGTAGTACGCCACGGGACACCACGGATGCCGAGTCGTCGCGACACCTTGATCCAACATGGGTGGTCGGGATTAAGGGTTGAGGGTTTAGGGTCTGTGTGTGTGTGTGTGTTGAATGGCATGCTGTCTAGAGTTCACAGGTGTGTGGCTTGCTGACTACTACAGATTGAGGGATCGTGCACACGCAAAGTTCAAAACCAGAAACTCTGCACGGGATGCATATATATTTACGTACATATGTATGTACGTGCCAGGTGGCTGCAATCACCACCCGGCCATCCCCGCTCCCAAGGTCCACGAACAGGGGCGCCGGTGAAACGAAGCCGAACTCCTGCGTTTTGAGGTTGGGGGTTGAGGGTTGAACTCTTTAGGATTTTTTGTTTTTTTGAGGGCCCTTTTCCTAAACTCTTTAGGGTTTAGGGTTGAGGGTTTAGGATTTGGGGATTTGGGGATTGGGGTGCTGAAATCTGCGACTGAGGGTTTCGGAGGGCTCGTTTCCGTGTTCTTGCGGTCCGGGGTCGGAGATTCTTGGTCCTAGCCTATAGCGCTAGACAGCACACCCAAAACTCTGAGCCCTGAGGCCTTTCTTAGAGCCTTGAGGTTCTTGAGAGCTCAACCGAAGCTCCGTCTTCAAGCCTCAATCTCAATCATCACGGTCACAAGGACATGCTCAGGTCCCTAACAAACCCTGACATCCGTAGAGGAAACCTAAGACATCGACATCCCTCTGAAGGCCTTCATTAGTTCTTAGTGTTCTTAGTTGGGGATTCTGAGGCGACAGGGCTCACTGCAAAGGCTTCGGAAACCGATTGGGGTCCGATCGAGACTTACTTAAGTTGGAGGTCGGCGTGGGGTTTAGGGCTCGGGGCTTATGCTTGTTTTTATCAGATTTAAGACTTAAGCTTCAGCTTCGGATCCAAAGTAACCCAAAGGAGTTAAGGCTCTTGATCCTCCAAGATTCGGGATTGATAAAAAAGGGTTGATGTTCCGGCCCACATGCGGCTTCGGCTTTCAGGTGTCCTCTCAACCTGAAACCCGACCCAACCACACTCACAGCAAGTAGGCACAAAAACCCTTAACTTTTACCTCGACTTGACACACTTCAACTACGCATCCCACCGCAGCCTGCACAAGCCTCAGCAGCTCAGCGATCAGCTCCTGCGGCTTCTGCGCTACCAAACCCTTGCTTTGCATCCGATCTGCTTGCCGTGGGTCATGGCGCATGGTGTATGCCGACTTGAACTGCTTCACGTTGCAAGGTGGATTGCATTTACATGTAAACAGCTCTCAGCCCCTACCCATGACAAGCTGCCACAGCGGCTGTTGTGGCCACCCGTATGTAAACATTCCCATCACGGCGATTTGCGTTGCCCCCCGCATCCCCCCCCAAAAGCCTTCTCTCAGTACACCATCCTACCCAAAGGCTCCATGTACCTTTATGGTAGATACTTAAGCCTTAAAGGGGTCCCTCTATAGGTACCTCAAGGCCTAAGTATACAATATATGGGCACATGGAGCCTTAGGGCTACACCCCGAATCTGCCACGGTTGATGATACAAATCCTGCATGACCCAGAATAAGACATGTACCATAATTCCCATAGTTGCGGTAATGCAGGATTTACATCATCAACAGTATCCCTACCTTATTAGGCCCCATTCTAAAGGAGTTTATATGGGATATTCCTATCCCAAGTTTCGCTTAGGTGCTTTTTTGGGGCCCTATTAGAGTTCCTTCAAAAGGATCCTTAAGGGTTCCCAAAAGCCCCACTGGCCCAAGAAATCCAAGGCTCGAGACCCGAAAGCCCTAAACCCTAAACTCTAATCCCCTCAAACTCTAATCCCCTAAAACCCTAAAACCCTAAACCCTAAACCCTAAACCCCTGAACCCCTAAACCCCAAAAAAACCTAAAGCCCTAAACATCTAAACCCCTAAAACCCCTAAACAATCCTAAAACCCCTAACCCCCCAAAAACCCTAACCCCAAGCCTAAACTTTAAACCATCCTAAACCCTAAAACCCCTAACACCCCTAAAACCCCTAAAACCCTAAAGCCTAACCTCGCAAAAAACCCTTAATCCCCCAAAGCCTAAACTTTGAACCATCCTAAACCCCCAAACTCCTAAAACCCCTAAAGCCCCTAAAGCCTAACCTCGCAAAAAACCTAACCCCCAAAGCCTAAACTCTAAACCATCCTAAACCCTAAAACCCCTAAAGCCCTAACACCCAAAAAGCTCAAAACCCACCCAAAAAAAACCCTAACCCACCCAAAAAGCCCTAAACACCTAAACCCCTAGCCCCAAAGCCTGGACTTTTGAACTATCCTAAACCCTAAAACCCCTGAAGTCCCTAAACCCCTAAACCCCTATAGACTATAGATCCCTTTAAAGAACCCTCTCATAGATCCTTTCAAAGGGAACCCACCAAAAAAAAGCCCGAAACCCTAAACCCTAAACCCTTCGAAGGGCACCCCCAGAAAAAAGCCCTAAACACCCGTCCTCGGAGGCCGGGCGAAGTCCGGCGAGGCGGCCGCCCAAGGAGCCAAGGCGACTTCTGTGCCACCTGGGCTCTTTGAGTTCCTTTGAAGGTTCCTTTTAAGGGTCCTATAAGGGTTCCTTGAAAGGATCCCATAAGGGTTCCTTTAAAGGGTCCTTTAAGGGTTCCTTTAAAGGTTCCTTTTTAAGGGGTTCTTTCAGGCTTCCTTTAAAGGGGTCTATAAGGCTACTACAAGGGATTTGGGCTGTTTCCCTGGGGCTCTTTGTCTGGTTCTTCGTCTTTAAGGGCTCCTTTGAAGGGTTTCTTTAAAGGGCCCTTTAAGGGTTCCTTTAAAGGGTCCTAGAAGGGTTCTATAAGGGTCCTATAAGGGTCCTATAAGGGTTCTATAAGGGCTCTATAAGGGTTCTATAAGGGGTCTTAGGGTATCTATAGTCCCTTGGATTATGGGGAATGTTAGTGGGGACTATATAGGGACTACTATATTACTATAGGGGTGCCACCTGGGCTGTGTGTTTAAAGGCTTTGGGGCTTTTCTTGCGGGGGAGTTTGGGGTTTTGGGCTCAAGGGCTTAAGGGTTTAGGGGTTTAGGGTTTAGGGTTTACTACTGGTTCCATCGGGCTCTTGCTTGAAAATAGGGTCCCTCAAGGACTCTAAGTGTTCTATACTAAGGGCATTGAGGGTGCAGGTTTGGTGCTAATGGAGTCTCGAGTTTAGGATTCAGGGTTTAGGGTTGAGGCTTCGGTTCGCGCAGATTTAGGGGATCGGGGCCCAGGACAAAAAAGCAGGAACACGAGGTAAAGGAAGAAAAGATGTCCGAAGTTTGGCTAAGGTACTCTCTCTCTGGCAGGAACGGAACGAAGCCTTTGGCATAAGCTTCGGCGTTCTGCTTCAGCATGTCGGGTTCATACAGGTATCCTGCCAACAGTCCAAACGAACTCCGTAGGGCTTGCACGGACTCATCTCCCCACCAGTGTAGCGAAGAAAGCATGGCACCCTGCTTAAAGTGAAAGCTGGCATCCTCGTCCGGGCACTGGCCATCTTTCCTGCCTGCCAAGTAACTTTCACACAAGGTGCATAAGGGCTTCTTCATGGAGATTGGCAACATCCCGAGACCTTCTGCCGCTTCTTGAATTCTGGCTAAGCTTCCATCCTCTACAGAGCTTCGGGGAGCCACCACTTGCAAAGGGCTTCCGTCCTCCAGGAGTACCACCAGCGAGTCCTCGCCTGCAGATCGGAGCCTTATCACCCTCCTGCTCGTCCCTGAGCCAATCCTCATCCTAAGCTGGGACAAGCCGTCCTCTACGGCGGAGAAGAAGTTCACCAAGTCGCCATCGGAATCAACGAAGGAGAGATTCAAGTCCAACTCCTGCGCTGACTCTGCAGCCGTCAACGCCTTCGACATCAAGGATGCCAAAGACCGATCAAAGCCCAAGGTCAAGAGAAGCTCGTGCCCGTGCACTTCCCGAAGCCAGCGGACGAAACCCTTCAATGGTGCCAGGACGATGCACTTCGGACGTGGGTGCTGGCTTTGGATGCTGTGCAGCACTTCACCCATCCTGGAAAAGCTGTTTGAAGACACCATAACTGCTCACATGGCTCTGGGTCTTTGAGTTGCTTAAGGAAGCACATTCCCCACTGGCTGCCCAGTGACAGCATTTCCCTGACTGTGATTCCGTCGGAGCTGCTCAAGTCGCTGTCATGAGCCAGGTTGAACTGGAAGAAGCACATGTACTCCTCATCCCCGAGACTCTCCTCCGAAGCAGACCTGGGATTGGTACGAAGCTGAGCTCAGCAGCGGACGGAGAGCTTGTTGCAAACGAACGCATGGAGCTTATCCCACAGACTCCAAGCCTGAAATCTGAATGCCAGGCAGATGCTTGGTGACTTTTCTAGCTTGCAGCATGCCGTGTTAAATGGCAGGTCATCTCTTCACCTTCACCGGAACTCGAACAAGTACCGTCTGTGTTGATTGGCTGCTTGTTGTGCTGCTTGTGTTCGCGGTGGGAAAGGAACAGGAAAAGGAGGAGGGGGGAGCAGTCCAGGCGCCTCGTCACCGTCGTCATCGCCATCATCATCATATTCTTCTTCATCACTATCACTGTCACCATCCCCAAGAGTATGTACTCGATAAACCTGCAGACCGTGAAACAGTGCCACGTGCTTGATGTGGAATACAGTGCAGTTCATCTGCAACCAGCCGTCAGCCACGCAAAAGCAAAGACGAAACCCGAGAAGCAAGGAGGCCAACAAGGCCAGGGTTTCCAACGCATGCATGTGAGTGGTTGTCAAAAATATGGTCCCCTTTTTGGATCCTCACTATAATAGGGCACCTAATATTTAGGGTACTCAATTAGGGGCCATAATTTTGACAACTACCCATGTAACAGCTCCAGCAACTCTTGACTTCCTGGCTTGCGGCTTGTTTTCTGGATGTTGAGGCACATATCGAGTGCTGACAGCGACTGGCAGAGGAGGGTTCTGGAGCGAGGCTTCGGGTACTTTATGGGAGTTTCCGAAAATTAGGTGTACCTTATTTGGTGGTCCTTATAATAAGGATCCTACTATTTGGGGTACTACGTTAGGGTCCCCTGTTTTCGCAAACTCCCTTATTGCCTTGATGGCAATCGCCAAGTTGGAAACACCCGTGAGCAGAAGTGGTCGAGCTAAGCTACGTCAGCTCGGCCAAGCAAGCGGGATACTGCGAGCTGAGCGCGGCCCTGGTTGTAGCCAGAATTTCACCTGGACTCCCATCAGGGAGATCCGTAGACTAGGCAACCCCGGCCCCCACACCCCCCCAAAACCTGTGAAAACATGACCCCCCCCTGACTACTTCAAGCGTCAGCTGTATGCTTGTTTTGGGTACAATTCCATCCGTGGGGATTTAATTACGACGAACCTGATCTTTGAACCAACAAGTCTCAAAATCGAAATTCTGAACCCTTAGTCGGAACCCAAAACCTGAACTGGAGACCCGAACGCGCGGCCTCCTCTGACAAGGGCAAAGCCGCGGTGGTGTTTGGGCCACGGCTGCGGGCCAAGCCAATCGCTCAGAGAAGGGCCTCTTTTCGATTCGGGGCTTTTTGTGCGGGCTTGGAATTGTGTGCGGTCTTGGTTTTTGTAGATGAGGGCTTGGTACTAAAGGTGTTGATTCGGGGTGCAGGGTCTGCAGGGCTTGGGGCTTGCATGGGTTTTGGATTTGGGGGCATTTGGCCTTAGCTTCACATTTGTTGCATTTTTTGGCTTGGGTTCAAAACTTCGCAAGATGGATTTGAGATAACCTCAGCTTACAATCACTAGGCCCCCCTCCCTGAATTGCAAATCCTGCTCAAAGCCCAAAACCCCAACCGAAAACCTTAACCCTAAACCAAAAGCCTAAACCCTAAACCCCAAGCGAAGCAACAAACCCACCATGCCAAACCCGGCCTGGAATCCCAAACCCTAAACACTACCCCTACACAAGCACTAAACCCGAAATCCAGGCTATACGGGCCTCAATAATTAGAATAGGGTTTGGGAGCCAGGTTTTGCTAAAATTATGATAAGGAGCCCCCAAAACAGTATAGGTAGTTATCTAGGCTTCTATGTTAAACCCTAAGGCTCCTGGTTCAAGACCCTAAACCCTAAACCCTAATCCCTAAACCCTAAGACCCTAAAACCCTAAAGCCCGTAACCCTAAGGCTCTAAGCCCTAAACCCTAAGGCTCCTGGCTCAAAACCCCTTTTAAAGGAACCCCCGTATTTTGGCCATATGAAACCCTCAGGCTCCTGGTTCAAGACCCAGGTGACAAACACTAAATCCTAAATCTCTAAACCCTAACCCCCCCTAAACCCTAAGGCTCTAAACCCTAATCCGTAAACCCTAAGGCTCTCAACCCTGAGGCTCTGAACCCTAAAACCCTCAGGCTCCTGGTTCAAGACCCAGGTCTTTCAGAGCTTCCAGCGGCGCAGCGCCCAGGCGAAGCAGCTCGGGCTTGGGCCGTTGCCTCCCCGAACATCGGGGTTAGGGTTCAGGGTTTGTGGGTTTAGGGTTTATGGGTTCAGGATTTGGGGGATTTTGTGGGTTCAGGGTTTAGGGGTTCAGGGTTTGGGGGATTTTGGGGGTTTAGGGTTTGGGGCTTGAAGTTTTAGGGTTTAGGGTTTAGGGTGTGGGGGCTTAGGGTTTGGGGTTTTAGTTTTTTATGGTTTAGGGTTTGGTGGTCTAGGGTTTGGGGGTTAATTAAGTTAAGGTTCAGGGTTTTAGGTTTTAGGGTTTATGGTTTAGGGTGCCCTTGTACCTAAAACGCTCCAAAACCCATTAACGGATCCGATTATAGCTTAAGAAATATTCCTTACTTAAGGGATATTGGAGCCCCTAGCAGGGGTGATTAATACGGCTTAGGGTTTCGGGTTTCGGGTTTTGGGATCCTCTTTACAGGATCGACATGGAAGCCGAGGGCACTTAGCAGATAGGGTAATGTAGGAACCTGATTAAGAAACCCTGGGCCTATAACCCTTATTTTAGTAGGATTCATATAAGGAACCCTAGTAAAGGCCCACGGTTTCTTAATCAGGTTCCTACAGTAGGTCGGGCAGGTTCGAACTAAGGCCTCTACTCTGACCCTCCTATAAAAGCCTCCAATACCCAGTTCAAGGTACTGTACAGTGCGCCCGAAGCATGCGTCGGCCCGTATCTGTGCGAATGCTTGATACACATATCTGCATCGACCATACTATACATTATGTGCTTCGCATGTTCCATGGACACAGACCTGTAAGCCTATCTTATCTGTGTGTATGATGAAGATCCGGTCCCGCATTCAGTCCTTGTGCATGCTGACTGGAACCAGCACCGAGGCCCCGCGATGTGCAGCGCAGTCGCCTCAGGGTGTAGCATCTTGATGGTGTCTGGCCGGGTTTTCTGCTGAAGCGCAGGCGGAATTAGCCATTCAACCTAACAAGTTCGGAAGCACAAACTCTTAGAGCGGGAAGGTCGCCTGAGATTGTAGAGGCTGCCAAGATGTTGTGTAGTTGGCTTCTAGCGCCTAGAGTCGTCTGAGTTCGGGTTTAGGGTTTAGGGTGCAAGCTTCGGCATCCAACGCCGAGGACTGGGAATCTGCCTTGCGGCTACATATACACAAACTCACGCAAAGAACCCCAAACAATAAACGAGTTTGCAACTTTTCTACCACAGAGACCCAGAGAACCATTCAACAAGCCATATAAAGCCATTGAAGCACTTCGACGACTGCTCAAGGGCTTCTTCAAGCCCCTGTCCACTTTGGCTCTCGCAACAGTCTCCCGAACACCCGAACAAGAAAGACCCCTAAACCCTGAAAGCCAAAACCCTAATCCCTTCAACCCAAACCCACAAATCCTAAGCCCGAATCTTAAACCCTAACCCCAAGCCAGACGCCTCGCGGATCGCTCTGGAGGTCCGGCCCAATGACAGGGCCAACATCCCAAGAAAGCTCCGGAGGCTCTTGAGGGCCCATCGGTACTGAATTTTTTCTTTTTGTTTGGTTTAAGGCTTAAAGGGCCTCTTTCTATTCCGCAGATGGTCTAGAAATGGTTAGGGCTTCAGGTTGACCAGCTAGTTGTTGTTTTATTCGGGGTCATGAATGTTTCTGCAGTCTTGACATCGGCGCCATGAGCATCGTTGTCGCCTCCATTTCTACGGGGTCATGTGTGTGTGTGTGTGTGTGTCGTCACCCGAGACCTTAGCACCTACACCCTAACAGCAGTAACAGCGGGATCCACTTGGGAAGCTTCTCCAACTCTTGATCCAGGAGCACGAGCTGGAGGCACCCGCAGGGTTTCGCTGCAATATGGCAGCGAGTACGAATGACGACGACGAGGACAACAGTAGCGCTACTACTCCTCCTCGTCCTCAAAACCTTCGCATGCGGATTGTATGATGCATTGGAAGGGCAAAACCACGCGACTGAGGCCGCTGTCTATTTAGGGACAACCTGGGAAGGGCCGAAAGCTGCAAGTCCACCGCGGCTGACAAGGCACATTGCGTGTGCCTTAAACCTTACCAGGACTAACGGTTGTCGGAAGCAGTAATTGCAAAAAGCCCCTAATAGTCCCTGGAAAAATAGAGTAGAACTCTTCCCCAAAGCCCCTGTTCTTGTCGCTAAGGCGCCTACATTCCTACGTTATAATCCAAAGCCTTCTGGCCTCAGAACTTCAAACTCTGAACCCGAAAGCCCTACAGTAAGCGATACAACCTCTGCCCGGAGAAAAGCCAAACTAAACAGCCTAAAAGCCCTCAAGCAAAAGTTGTTTAAGTCATTGAAACTCTGAAAGGCCCTTGAAAGCCGTTCAAATGCACTCCTGATAACGCCCATAACCCCCCCTTAGAACCCATTGAAGCGCTTAAATGCCCTTGAAGGCCGTTCAGACATGACCCTTACATCTCTCACAACCCCCCATTAAACCCTTACATTCATAATCCCTAAACCCTGAACCCTAAACCCCAAAACCCTGAACCCTATATAAGCCCTAAACCTGCAGTCTTCCCGCGCTTTTGCTCCCTGGCCGACGTGGTTCGCGGCATCGGCCTGAGGAGCCAACC